CTAATTACACAAACGCTTGGCTTTTTGATGAATAATGAAAAGAGAGTGACATGTATTGATGGCTTTGTCAAGGCCATGTTTCCTTTTACACACCATTGAGAAAATGCATCAAAACAGATTTTGTGTCACATTTAACAGTTTTGATTGATTTTTTTGCTATTTAAAGTGGTTTATAAAATACTATTTAGCAGCTATTATGTATGTGGGGGTCAATATTGATTGCATGAACAGCTCTGCTGGCCTGTTTCTGTGAATTTTATTAAATATTCACTGTTGTGCCTTAGCAGGTCAGGTAACTAAAGCCACTGAGGACATGAATAATACGTCTGTCCCAGATTCTCATGAAGAACGTTCTGGTGCATATAGGTCCAGAAGCACGGGTTTTCACGAGATATAGTCTCTGTGCCTGAAAAAGTTCTACTTCTAGCCTAATTTTTTAACATCCTTGTCCGTGTATGAGACATATACCATATCTGAGGAAATACAGACGACACTGAAAGAGGAAAAAGTTGAAGATAACACAATTATAATCATATGATCTCCTTTAAAACATTCCGTCCTACTTGAACTATTTGCTATTTGTAGGTCAAAATGTTCTTGTTTAAGAGTTGTTTTTGTACGAGGAGATTAATTGGGATACCAGAATGACCCACTTAAAGATCGGTCAAGATGTTACAAGCTGCTGCTAGAACTTAATCAATCCAGCCACCGCTGTCCACTGCTCACATTCACTGCTCCTGCAAATAACTAGAGCACATCTTAGAGTTGCATTTCTCTAGTTCTGGATTTATGCAGGAAACATCAATAAATTAAAGAAAATACAATTATAATATTTAATTTAGTATGTGTTATAGACATCCAAATGTTACCTTAGAGAGTTATTTTTACCTGATTTGCATTATTAAAAATTTGATTTGTTCGTATAAATTAATGTTTTTATACCCTAAAGTACAAAAGCCTAAAGGTAGCCTATCTTTGTACCATATTTAGCCCTGTGAGTGAGTGAGTGTGTGAGTGTGTGAGTGTGTGTGTGTGTGTGTGTGTGTGTGTGTGTGCGTGCGAGCGAGCGTGCGTGCGTTCGTGTATATGATGACCGCCTGAGATTTTTCTTTTAAATTAACATTTTTAATCAGGCTCTTAGGAAAATAACTTTGGACGTTGAAAATAAGTAATTTCAATAACTGACTAATAATCTTTTAATTGCCATTAAAGTCTGACTTTTGAATAAAAGTCTGATAAAAATGCTCGTTTAAAAAAAAAACAATTCAGAAAAAATTCACTTTTTGACGGACTCAGGCGGAGGTATGTTATATATTTAAAAATGTGTTTTTGTTTATATCTATATATAAAGAAACCCATCTAAATAGTGTAAAGGTGTTCTGTTAAACACTGTGTTGGATGTGGAAATGATGTATGTGAAATCACTGGCCTTAACTTTAATTTACACAGTAGAATATGGTATTTCACTCTATCTTTTAGGACTGAGAATACAGTTGTGAGAAACCTCAAATTAATCATTGCACACATAAAAAAAAAAAAAAAAAAGTCAAAACAACATTATTAACAAAAAAAACCCAGTTCCGGCTCAGATGAAAGAGTATATCGAAAAGAATGGTGGGTGATTGAAGAAAGCTATAAAAATGAGCTATTTTAGTAATCCTTATATAAAAAATGACCCATTTTGCTGCATCTTCATCAGCAAACCATATCTGTTCATTTCAGCAGGGCTTAGTTTAATGTAATTTCTCTCATTTTTCCACGTATTGCCATAGTGTGCCATGAGGAATGAGTGGTAACATGCAGTATCACGTTCATAAATGTCTCCTGTGGCCTGTTTCTAAAGTAGAAAGAGCTAAATATTGAATGGCTTGTAGCTATGTTGATGCTTTTAAGGCAAAGCAGGTGCTATATTAATACAGACGGGGCAGTGAATCCCCAGCAGGAAAACAATCAAATGAATTAAATTAATCAAATACTAAATGTAATCAGCATGCATGAATGTTCAAGTACAGCAGATAAAACAGGAGCACAAAACCTTCTCAAACGCAGGGGAAAAATGAAGCCAAAAATCCAGCAGAAATGTGTCAGACAAAATTACCTGAAAAAGATACCGGTGTCTGCAATACTTAATTTATGGCATTATTAAGGGATCATCAGTGTCTTATGGTCGGCTATGGAATGATGGAGTGTGTAATTATATTTAGTCCCACAAGGATATGAAGCATAGCCAAGGGAAAGATGAAATTAATTAGAAGTCTCATCCACAAAGTTAAGACCATTAATGATTAGCACTGTAATTTCAATAATAACTCATACAGGGTGTGGTAAGAGATTATGTATATTATTATATTTATTACACCTAAATAATAGACAGTGATGACTGAATACAAGCACAATCTAATTTACTTACTACACTGTGTCAATGAATAATGAAATTTTTTGGAAGAACAGTGTGTTAAAACCTTAGCTGATACAACTTTGGTAGATTGACATTATTGTGTTGTATATGCCTGTGTTATTTTCAGATTAAAGATGATAGTTATTACAGTTAGCCAATCTCTGGGAGTGAAACGTGGCAAGATATCTGATCTACAACTGTCGTTAAATATTAAGAATTTCAGTCAAATGTGTAATTACACCCTTGAAGAGTCAAGGAAGAAAAAGAGGTGTATTTATAATCACAAGACTGTCTGGAAGGGGTTAAAACACCTGTTGACCTTTCTATTAGCTTAGTAGTAATATTATATGTATTCATTTTATTGTGACTTTAAAAAATTAAGAACTTTCTGTGAAGTTTCTCACTGCACAATAGTAAAAATTACTTTCTTTTTTGTAAAGAGATACTTTCACTGCCAGTTTGAGTTGAACTGAAAAAAAGTATTTTGCTGCTATTGTGATGCCTTTTTTAATCTTTCTAACATCATTCATCATCAGTTTTTTGTTCTCCAAATCTAGCAATATTGGTATTGGATCTGTACCATTTTGGACCATTTTTAGATGATCTATTGTAATTTAAGTGTATAATATATGATTGTTATTTTGCCTGTTGTCATGTTTTTAAAACAGAAAAATTAATTGTTGTGATGTGGAAAAATTACATTAAACATGCATGGGAACCAAGGAGGAGTGTACAGTAAGTGAAAAATCATATTCACAATCACACCATGCTCTTGATAGACACTAATCTGAGAAATACCTTGTAATATTAAATTTTTTTTTTTTTTTTTCAGAAAAATGTAAATGGTAAAACAATGGCTAAATGTAATTACCCAATTAATCTACAACATATTTTTATTTATTTCTTTCTCAAACATTAGTCGCTAGCATTGCCAAGGTCATGGGTGTGATTCCCAGTGAATGCTGATAATGTACCTATACCTTCAGTGCAGTGTCTTTTAGTTTAAAAGTCATTCAAGTTAATCATATATTTTCACACAGCAGTCATGAACTAATGATCTGTAATTAACCTACTAATTACATTTAATGTGTCTATTGTGTCACAATCCTCCTCTACATGAGTTTGTGTGAAACACACAGACTGAGAAATCCTCAAATTCAGAATTGGCTCATGTTGCCCCTCGGGTTTTAATAAAATCACTGCTTTAGTTGCACGATGTTTATGGTCCTCCAGTTATTTAATGCTAACAGTTCAGGAACAAAAGCTGAGCTTGATAAAAGATGTAATGAACTTCAGGACAACAAAGCGACAGTCAAACGATGAAATAAGTCTATTAAGTCAACTTTTTAGTCTCATCCAGAGCGCTACATCATATCCAGAAGAGAGATACTGTATAAACTGGTGGGCTTTACCTGAGCTCAGAGTGCCTGTGATTAATCGAGCTATGTGCTGAGTGAACTTGATCAGCTGCCGCTTGCATCGTCGCCGTCGGCTGCTCATTTTCATTGACAGAGAAGGAAGGAGATCAAAAGCGAGTTCTCTGGTTTATTCCAGTGTTCTGTCGGCTTGAGTTGCGCTTGTTTCGGTTTCTGGTCAGGTATATGGATGAAGAGAAAGGTGTGAACGTGCTGCAGCTTTACAAACACCTGAGAGCGAATCCGTCTCTCTCTCTCTCTCTCTCTCTCTCTCTCTCTCTCACACACACACTCTCTCTCTCTCTCTCTCACACACACATCACACACACACACACACACACACACACACCTCTTTAAAATGTTTTTCCGAGTTCTCTCACTTATAGATCTGAACTGTGAAACTCCATATAGAGCTCTTACAGCCTCCCTCGGGTCTTTATTTAAAGCTCTTCTTGTCTCCCTTAGGTGTATTTGACCTCGTTTTTAATTATTTCTTCTTTTTATGACAGATGACCTTTGGTGTCATTCAGACCATTTAGTCAGTATGCAATATATGTAATACTTTGCCAGTTTTTATATGTATATTTATACAAATAAGAGAAATAATAATAATAATATGGCGATACAATTCCCAGATAGCACACGTACGTCTGCAAGATGTCTGTTAAAGATCTGGAAAGCATCTGCTGTGTACAAACATCTGATAGACGTCTTTAAGATGTCAGTTTTACATGCATTCTAAATCATAAACATCTTATTCACGCTGTGGAAATACAAACCGGAATACAGAAGACAACAAACGCAGCGCTGAAAGAGGCGGAGCTACAAAAGGTCTATAAGTGACTCTTTACTGATGACAGTATAAAGCAGCCATTATATATTAGTAAGTGGGTCCCACATGAATTGATTGTCACATTTAGGGATACAGTTATACAATGTAGGCAACACACGGCAAGATCTCTTCTTGTTTTATTCTCCTTTTTCACGATGTGTCACTCTCTCCCTCTGCTGGTCAGTCTTCATTACATCATCAGTTCTTTTTAACAGGGTGACTGTATTGTACCCCGAGGAACAACAAGGAGCAAGTTCTGATTTTGAGTATTCCTCAACTGTGTTTTACACCTCCCTCTGGTGGACAAGCTCATGTAGAGGAGGGTGTGAGATATGGAAGGCAGATAAAACCAAAAGTATTTAAACAGAAGGTGTGAAATTTCAACTAAAACACTTAAGTGAATTCACCATTTAGTGAAACTGTATCATGAATGTATTTGCAACATGACAGAAATGACAAAAATGACTGCAGGTGATATGAGGTCTGTTGCAATGGCGCCCTCTGGTGGTGTGAGGTACTTCATATAACACCTTGAGCGTCTTTCCAATATACTTTATGGGAATATAAAAATGAATTCATGGATGTTTTTTGCAATGCCTGGGCAATTTCAAGGAACACTACAGCTTAGTTTCACTAAAAAATTATATAGGCCTATTTTATCATTTTAAATAGTCCTACATTTTTACGGTTTTTAGTGGTCTTAAAGATTAGATTAAAATGAGAACAGAGAACATGCATTAAAATGAATAATGAAAGTAATTTATTATTGTGATAAATTCATCCTTATAAGTCAAGAACACTGCATGTGGTAAACATTCATTAATAGAATGAATGTAACTTACTATTCCCACATGATTTCATGCATTTCTGAGTTTATTACAGAATTAGCGTGTAGAAGCACAGCATGAGAAAGGAAGCCATCAGATTCAGGAAACTGGAACTCGGGAAACTTGAAGATGATTCTTTAGATTCTTCAGACAAGCTTTAGACAGAAAGAGAAAATTCAGATCAGCAGGTTTGTTTTAGATGTGCTCAGTTTATCACGAATGTGACCCTGGAGCACAAAACCAGCCATAAGGGTCAATTTTTCAAAAATTGAGATTTATACATCAACTGAAAGCTTAATAAATAAGCTTTCCATTGATGTATGGTTTGTTAGGATAGGACAATATTTGGCTGAGATACAACTATTTGAAAATCTGGAATCTGAGGGTGCAAAAAAATCTAAATATTGAGAAAATCATCTTTAAAGTTGTTCAAATTAAGTTCTTAGCAATGCATATTACTAATCAAAAATTAAGTTTTAATATATTTACGGTAGGAGATTTACAAAATATCTTCATGGATCATGATCTTTACTTAATATCCTAATGATTTTTGGCATAAAAGAAAAATTTATAATTTTGACCCATACAATGTATTGTTGGATATTGCAACAAATATACCCCAGCGACTTAAGACTGCTTTTGTGCTCCAGGGTCACAAATTAGTATTGCATACAATCAAACAAATCTTTACTGCGCTCTCACTCTCTTACCTGGCAAGGCCGCTGCAGTTATAAGAACTGTAAAAGTGAGAATGTACCAAGGTGATCTTTTTAAACTCATCATTAATATTCATAACCGTTGTGATATCCTCAACTGTGAAAACGTCAGTGGGTGATATTAGCGCATCCATTTCCTCTGAACTACACCCATAATCTTCAAGGCTGATCACAGAACAAGACGTGATGTTGAAAACAGTCCCAGGGTTTTCATCTACACTTGCATCCTCAGTTGCAGAAGTATATTGCAGTTTTGCTGGGAAAAAACTCGCAAAACGTACTTTCTCCCCAATTTTGGTGCTATATTCCTTCTCTGTGCCAGAGTACACTGTACGACATTTCTTTTGGCCTTCGAGTTGCATGGCATCTGTCAGCAGGAAGAAAAGAGATTTGAAAGGAAACTCGTCTTGGGAAGTCGAACTGCCCCTGCCATTGTTCTGAACCAACTTCTTGAATTTTTCATGAAATTCAGGAGTAGCTTCAACATAGCTCTGCAGCGCAGCCATGTGCTCCGGTGTACTCCCTGGAATGGCCTTTTTGGATGTTGCGTTTCGCCACATAGTTTTAAAATCAGCATTGTTGTTAAGCTCTGTCTGCAGCAGACCTCCACTTTTTGTGACCATTTGTAGCATCTCTTTCCGACAGTTGTAGAATGAGTAATCAGCAGCTTCAGGAAACAAGCCCATGTGTATCACTTCTTCAGTTATCTGCACCACACTCTGAAAACACAATTAAGAATCACAGCGGAAAATTTGGAGAGAAGAAAATAAGTCAAAGACTTTTGATGAGTACCTTGAGTTAAACAGTTCAAAGTAGTGATGATAAATGTGAGAACTTACAGTGTACAAGAGCAGCAGGAGAAATGCATGGAACCTCAAACTTCCCATTGTATTAGTTGGCGTATGTGCACAGGTCTGGACAAAGACAATAACATGGACAACAGGCTAAAAATAAGGAAATAAGGTTGGTGAATACATGCTCACCAATATAATTATATATTTTTTTTTTTTCCAGCACAAATGGAGCACAAGCACATGCAGACAATTGCATGAAACACAAAAAATCTTGATATCTTAAAAATACCTGTTGTGCATGATGCATTTAATTTTGTTAGAAACATTCGCCTAAAACAAGTGGCTGAAAACTATAACTGAAAAATGCAGCACTCACCGTCTCAAGATGTCTGGTATTTTTAGGGTCAGTTAGGCGAGGAGAAAGCAAATGGTCAGAACTGCAGGGTGTTCACAGACTGACAAAAAAAACAAAAAAAAAACATTTACAGGAAAGCTTATCAAGGCTGTGCTCTGCCTTTTCCTTCCTGCATTTCAATCGCTACCGTGATCAGGAATGAACAAAGCCAGACATCAGAAGAATCTTATAGTAGAACATTTTTAAAAAATAGGAAAAATTAAACATTAAGAATGTAAGGCAAATATTTTAAATGAGGTGGTAGACTTATAATTGTCAGCCATGTGCAGAGATTCATTTAAAATAAAAAAAATCCCATATTGGAGTCAAAACTAGTCAAGAAATGGTTAACAAATTGTCTTTTTGTTCCATTTTTTGTGCTATTTGTCCCTAATTTTCATTTCTGTGGTGTCCGCAAACAATGACTGACTGTTGTAAAACTCAGAAAACGATTCAGTGACGTCAAGGTTAAAATGTGACGGGTTTAAGAGGCACGTGATTTTTTTTGTTGGGTGAGATCTACTGTGGATTATTTATTAAATACAACAAATAATTGCGTGTCTGATCTGTCTCAGGCACTACAAAATTACATATTATTTACTGAGTCTTGAAATGAAAAAATCTTAAATTGAACCTTCTTTATTTTTGGAGGGCTGAATTTGGAATTGTTTGTCCTTGAGATGGGTTCACATATTATGTTTAGTATAATTTTTACCTGTGGCTATCAAGCTCAAAAATGCATTATTTAATGACTCATGCACTCAGAGCTTGGATGAAGAGCTTGGATCAGATATCCTAATATTTTCCTTCAAAATTAAAACGTTTCACCACAATCAAAATAGCAATGCATACCGAGAGAAGAAGTAGTAAGATTTACAAGTCATTAATTTTGCAAATAATTTCATCTGCATTTCAAAAATATTTTGATATGAAAATTCAAATATTTTTCAATTAATCTATTAGTTAGTCTGCATTTACACTGCATAATACACCAGTTTTGACAAATTATATTTTTCTTTGGCCGATTGCTTATGACTACAGTAAGTCAATCACTGCAATTTCAAAAGTGAATCTCGCATTTATTTAAATTTATCCCACATTTATTTAAATCCGGCGTTTATAGGTGAGTGAATTCTGACTAACCTGAACGCAGTGGCCAATCAGGGCTGCGTTCAGCCCTGACAAAAATGGTGCAAAACGTTTTTTAAACGGAAACGGTGGTGCATTCAACACACTGTTCTGATGACGCAAGAGTTGCAGCTATGGCAGCTGAGACTGATATGTTTGACACACCCACCAAACAAGAGAAAACACATCTCAAACTCAAGGAAACATGTCGTTCAGCCTGGAAACCGTAGCAAAACAGTGCGCACCGGTTTCAGCTTGAACTTGCCCCAGTGTTTGTCTGATTTGTCGTTGTGTTTTCTGACTTGTTATAATGTTTTCTGAATTGTTGTTGTGCTTTCTGAATTGTTATTTTGTTTTTTAGACTTGCATTTGCGTTTGTAATTTGTTATTTTGTTTTCAGAATTGTGATTTGCTTTGCACTTCTCGGCCACCGTAGATTCCCACGAGGGGAGGTGCCTAGAGAAGTTTGTGAGTGTGTGTCTAAAACATACAGTCTATGGTCTAAAGTCTAAAGCAGAGTACAGTCAAGCTGAAGACGGTTTCAGGATTTGAAAACATTCACAAACCAGTGCCGTGATTCAAACCCATCACTAAAACTTACTAGACATTAAGCTATGGAGGAATGTGAGCAGAGCAACAGTCCTACACATGAAGAACAGGTCAAACTGAAGAAAGATCAGAATAATGTGGAGCAAACACATACGGATTTGGGTTTTTGTTTATGCAGTTATGAATGCTGTGATTGTTTCCAAACCTGTGATTGTCCTGGATGTGATTTTTCTGGATACTGTGATTGTCCTGGATTCTGTGATTGTTCTGGATGTGATTGTTCTGAATTTTGTGAGCCTGTGTGTTCTGGATTCTGTCATTGTTTTTTATCCTGCTGCGAATGTCTGGGATCAATTTTGGGATGTTTTTGTGAGGCAAGTAACATTTAGAAAAACTTTTTTTTTTTTTTTATATTCCCTAACAAAGGGCTGTTTTCTTAATTGCTCTCACGATTGAAAAACTTTAATCCATGTTTATTACTATAAAATCCTAATGTGTCAAACATGCTTTCATTTGGATTAAGTCACGAGAGATGTGACTAATATACAGATATTACTAATGTTAATACTGCATCTTTCAGAGCCTTTTGGATGCCTGAGTAAATGGATTTCTAGGGACGCCACAGAAGTCAGAAGAGTCTACAGCTCCTGTGGAAAACATCCGATACAAACAAACATTGGGACATCTTCATGGAATATCATAATGCAATGATTATTAAACTTCAAGCAGATGTTGTTGCTATCTGTACATTTACAAAAATGCAACTGTAATATACACTCAACAAATGCTGAATTTCTTTTGCAGTAATGTCTGATTATAGCTTTAAATATAGAGTGCTCGAGAGTGAAGAGAAACTAAAATGCATCAGCGTAAAAACAAGTCTCTCGAGATTCTTGAGGGTTTGATGATGTGGTTTTGAAAAATGTCATCAGTTTTGGTTTCGTTTTGAGGATGTTTCATCTAAACCAGATTTTGTTCTGCTTCAGGCAGAAGGAGAATAGTTAGTGTGATGAAATTAAGCAGAGGTTGTGAAGGTTTGGTCACATTAGACTTAATGCTCTTCACTTCCATTCATGAGATCCTCTGGGCTCCGTAAGATTAGATGAACTCTCACTCAGAACAGAGCAACTGTCACAGCTTAGTTCGCAATTTTCCTTTTGTTTTCTCTAAGAATGAATGAATTTGCTAGAATTTTAAGAACAACGCAAGCAACAGTTGGGTGTTTTTTTACTGTGTACTCAAACAAACTCCTGAAGTTTGGATTTTTTTCTTAAGCGTTTTCTTTAGTGCTTAATTATTTTTTTAATCAATTGACATGTAAGGGATAATGCATGGCTAGCTGTGCTTCTATAGCTGTGCTTCTTTAGTGGAAGTAAAGAACCACCTGACATGAAGTATTAAAATAGTTTAATGCACAGCTAGCCGTGCATCATCACGCTTATACCATGGTCATTTGCCAGCATTGACAAGTTAAAGCCAGTAATGATGTTTGCAGCGCAATATTTAACCGGAATGGTAAAAATGACGGTTGACCTGCGTCTGTGCGTCTCTCTCTCTCAATGAAGCAGTGAGTTTAGTTACTTCAAAACCAGCGATTTTACCCCAATATAATGCAGTGATCTAGTATCTTAAGTTAATTTATAAGTCAAGGGGCAGCGCTGACACGTTTCTGCATGTGTGCAATAATATCCAAACTCTCTCTGTGTGTGTGTGTGTGTCTGTCTCTATAGCAACATATTAATATAGAACAGATTAAACTGACTTGGAACTACCTGTGCATTACACAGTTTTAATGCATACCTGCCAGCCAGTTAGAATCAAGAATTGAGACCGACCATGGTATAAATATATATGTGACCCTGGAGCACAAAAGCAGTGTTAAGTCACTGGGGTATTTTTGAAATAGCCAAAAAAATATTGTATGTGCCAAAATTATCCTTTTTTTTAATGCCAAAAATCATTAGGATATTAAGTAAAGATCATGTTCCATGAAGATATTTAGTAAATTTCCTACCGTAAATATATCAAAACTTCTTTTATGATTATTAATATGCATTGCTAAGAACTTCATTTGGACAACTTTAAAGATGATTTTCTCAATATTTAGATTTTTTTTTGCACCCTCAGATTCCAGATTTTCAAATATTGTCCTATCCGAACAAACCATACAGCTTATTCAGCTTTCTAGCCGATTTATACATCTCAATTTTGAAAAATTGACACTTAAGACTGGTTTTGTGCTCCAGGGTCACATATATTCAATATATATCCAAATGCATGACAAATTGAGACTGATGACATTAAATGACACAAAAAAAAAAAAAAAATGTAATCATGTTTTCTAATCTAATTATATAATCACAACCCACTGACAGCTTTTTTTTTTTTTAAATAATGTTTCATCCAGTTCCTGTTTACATTTGTTTTGCCTTCTATATAAAATGTCTACTTTCATACTGTTCCAGCAGTCTTTAATGACTTGATGATAAAATGTGTTACTGTCAAAGCAACGCATTTCAAATGAATTGTACTGAAAAATGAAAAGTCTCTGCACAAAAGCACATCAGATCAGAAGTCAAAGTTAAATGAAGCACGGTAGTCTCTTTCCCATTTCTGGTCTCGCTCTTCTTTCCTCTTAAGTTCTTTAGCGCTGAGCGTCGTTCCTTTCTCCTGTCTCAGTCTTTTCTCTTTATGCATGTGTTGCACTGCCTGAGGATCTCTGGCCTGGAAGTGTGTGACTTTGGGCTGCGGGGGCTCTCCGTATCCCAGGCCCGCCTGATCTCTCTTTAGTATCGTGCTGACTGGGTTTTTGCGGCCCGAGTGGGCGGGGCCCAGACCAGAGGAGGGGTTCCAGCCCAAGCGGAGCATCATTTTATAGCTGGTGCTGGAGGAGGGCAGGCAGTATTGAGGCGTGGCCGGGGGGCGGAGCTTACTGAACTGATGCAGCGTGGATCTGGAGTGTGTTTCAGTGCTGTCTGTGTAATGCACGGCACACACATCACACCACTGAGAACCAGCACTGTGGAAACACACGCAGACACACATCATCATTCTCAGATCTGTTCAAATTACACGTATTAAGACGAAACAGCATTTTAGTGAGATCTTTTAATATGCCTATTTGACAGGATGCTCAACCTGGGAAAATACACTCAGATCAAAAGCACCGCAATACTGAGAGATGTGTAATGAAGTAAATAATGATCAGTTTCTTGCACAGGCCGATCGTTTCGCTTCATAAGACCTCAATATAAATCGTATTAATTTTGTGATCCTTCATATGCTTTTTTATTCTCAAAGACGGGCAGCCGCTGACTCACCAAGGCCCACGGTTTCAGCTAAAAATCTTCTTTACTGTTATACTGAAGAAAAAAAAAAAAGTCACCTACATCTTGGAACAAATTTAACATTTTTGGGTGAACTATCTCTCTAAAGGATCGGTTCACCCATCATTAAGGTGTTTTTAACTTCAAACTGTTGCTCCATAATCCATAATAACTCTTCCTCCAGTGAAAAAGTGTTCTGGTCTGAATCAGGAGAGAAATCTGCACAGATCAAGCAGTGTTTAAACAGCTCTAAACAAATATGTGGCTGGATTTTGATGTGCGAGACAACAGGAGATGGACTTCAGAATCAAGCACCGGAACTATCCGTTTTATAATTCTCAATTCTAAACAAATATAACTCATCTTTATTAAGCAGCACAGGTCCTTTACCCAAGACTATATTCTGCATCTTTACTATATATTTGGTTTCTTATAGGCAGAGTAAGCCTATTATCTGAATTACTTCTGTTCAAATCTTTTTGTATTTCTTATATAAGCTTAATATATGCACATTTTTTATACCTTTAAAATGAAGTATTATTTTTATTATTAGTAATAATGCACACATGCAAGCCCAGTGGTTTTGATGCAATACAACTAAGGGAGTAAGTTCAGTCCGCAGGCATGAATGGTGGTGGGAAGTTACTTTAGTTACTTTACTTCAGTTAGACTGCATGACCAACAGTACAAGACTTTAACTCAATCAACCAACCATACTGACAAAGCAGCAGCCAATGGGAAATCTGCACTGCTCTACTCCCATATAAAGGAGGAGGTAGAGAGATCCTCTCAGAAGTGAGTGTTACGCACCTGTTTGTCCACCACTCCCACCCAAGCAGCTCCGTGACGCAGGAGCAACCGAACAGCCTCCGTCTGTCCTGCTTTACTCGCACACATCACACCCGTCCAGTAGAAATCATCGCGAAAGTTGACGTCACAGCCTCGCCGCAGGAGCTCCTTCAGGGCCTGAATGTCTCCCTCCTGAGCGCATCGGAGGAGTCTGTGTCCGTCTCGCTCGGAGCTGCTGACCGCTTCGCCACGAGCAGCTTCTCTTCTTCTTCGTTTGGGTCCTCGTGTCAAAAGATAACGGGCGATCATGATAAAACTGTACAGTTATCATAAACTAATCTCTGAAGGAATGCAAATGCTAAGATTAAAGAAGACTACTCATACTGTATATACTACTACTGTGAGATTTTTAATGAATGTTTTGAAGAGCACACATACTGTATAGATGACAGACTGATGCAACACTATTTAACTGTGTAAATACATGCAACACCAATTTCAATGCAATTTATTTGTACTTTTAAACAATTTAAACAAATACACCTGTAGCCAAATCTCAAACAGAAAAAGTAGATTTTCATGTCATGATTTCATTGTATGCTTACCAACATTCTTCAAAATATCTTATATTGCGTTCAGCAGAATACAGAAATTCATACAGGCTTGATTTCATTTTTAGATGTTCTAACGGTTATAATGACATTACAAGAGCAATGTCTCGGTTTAAGATTTTATTTCCTCATCCTCCCACCCTGCCAAAATGCAAATACATTTACAATTAATTTCAGAATTTCAGGCATGTCATGATGTTTTGTTTTTTGCAGCTGTGCTTTTAAGACATGTATGTAAAATGTTGCTAAACACAGTTAGGAAAAATATAAACCCTGGCAACACATCCGTATCTGCTTTAATGTTTTGTATTGTTGTTGGTTTTTAAGGCGAGACACTACAGGCAAAACAGTTTTTTTTAATGCATCTGGAAACTTTTTTGGGCTTTAATGGCTTTTCATCAAGTCATATTCAATATATTTCAAATATAACACACACTGAAAAAAATGTTTCCCTTAGGGCAAGTTATTTATTTTTCATTGGCTCAAGTAAAAAAATATAGATGTGAATCGTTACCCTACATTTTTTTAATTGGATGAATGAAGCATTTTTTTCAGTGCATATCTAATGTTCATATTTAATTTGCATGATTTGTTACATTTTATTCCTGAAAAAAAAAAAAAAAAAAGGTGAATTTTTTATTTTATTCATTTTTATTTTTTGGCTGTTGAGCCTGGCTTTATCCAACATTTGGATTTTTGTTCTAAAAATGTATGCAAATGTGTGCATTTATGTTTATTATGCATTTGCATGTTTAAATATAACATTTCAGAAATCTCGTAATACAAACAGATTTTGCAATTCATGATGTAATAATCAGTCAACTGGGGAAGTACTTCATCTTACTTATTCTTTTTTTCATTACACCATTGTTTCAATTGACAATCACTACTGATGTGGACCTGATATTATGTCAATTATTAAGTCAAACGTCTCTAGATGAATTAACCCTGGCAGTGCTGCTTCCTTTTCCATCATACTCTAATCTTAAAATGATAATTCTGATATTAATATCTGATATTTATTTAGATCAAAAACCTTTTGATCTAAAGTTTCACTCTTCAAATAATTTAAAATTTGTATCATTTTATTTATTCATTTAAACTTCATTTTTATGCATTTTAAATGAATTATTACAAACAATTCCTTGACGAGTGCAGTGGCACAGTAGCATAAGAATAGAACAAAGGACATAGAAAACCCAAAAAACATGCCTAGATACTAACATACTTATTTTAATATTATAGTTAAATGTTATGTTTTTTATGATTTGGTAGAATCTTTATTCATTTATATATATAAAAAAACAATTTTATTCATATATTTTTTTTTAAATATTTTTAAACATGATCTTTATTTATACATGTATTTAAAAGTTTAAAAAAAAAAATTTGACAGATTGGATCATGTATTTATTTTATTTTTTTCCTCTAGCAGTCGTGTGCTGCGATCATAATTCTCAATCTGCTTATGTTTTCCATCTCTACCTGCTCCTCGTCTCGCTCTTCTCGCGGCTGCTTCTCCTTCTTTTGGCTTTTCTCCATCGGTCTCTTGCAGCAGGCTTTGGTAAAAGTCTCTGGCCTCCTCTCCATTAATCGTCCGTCTGTCTTCTCTCGTTCTCTCTATCCAGCGCTTCTCCTCTTCTTTGGCTCTGGTAAAGTAGACTGGGTTGTTCATCTTTAACGCAATCTCTGTTAAAGAAGAGATCTCATGGCCACAAGACTAAAACCAAGAGAAGGAACAAATACAAGCTTTCAAATACTGAAGGATCTCATTTCCAGGAGCCGGTTGCATAAACCGCGTAGAATAGTCTTAAAAATTGGTGATCTAATTTTTTCTGCAAGACTGGTCATAACTGTTAAAGTCAGGTACACTGCTGTTCAAAAGTTTGGGATCAGTGAGATTTGTAATGTGTTTTAATTAAGCCTCTTCAAGGCTGCATTTTTTGTCCATAAATACAGAAAAAAATTCTATTTTAATATACTTTAAAATGTACTTTATTTCTTTGATGCAAAGCTGAAGTTTCAGCATCAGTGTCACACGATCCTTCAGAAATCATTCTAATATGCTGATTTATTATCAGTGTTGGAAACAGTTTTTGCTGCTTCATATTCATATTCTGGAACCTGTGATACTTTATGATTATTTTATGAATAAAGTTAAAAAGAACAGCATTCAACAGTTAGAAAGAAAATCCTTTCTAACAACATAAGTCTCTATGATCACTTTTTATCAATTTAACACGTTTCCAACATTGATAATTGATAATAAATCAGCATATTACACTGATTTCTGAAGATCATGTGACACTGAAGACTGGAGTAATGATGCTGAAAATACAGCTGCGCATCACAGAAATATATTACAGTTTAATGTATATTAAAATAGAAAACCATTATTTTAAATGGTAAAAATATTTCACAATATTACTGCTTTTTCTGTATTTCTGATCAAATAAATGCAGCCTTGAAGAGACTTCTTTAAAACACATTACAAATCTTACTGATCCCAAACTTTTGAACAGCAGCGTGTGTAAACACCTAACGTTAGACTGGTCTAATCTGAATCTGAAAAGTACTGATTACTAACGTTACTTGGTTAGTTACTCAAACTAGTTCTTAAGGTAACGTTACAGTCTTAACATAATGAATATGTTCATGCAAATATATATATATATATTGGTCAGCTGGAAAAGTATTCTTCATTCCTGACATGCTTTAGAATATCACTGAGAGTAAACTAACCGAGTCAGAGTTAAAAATAAACACAAAAATACACAAATCTCTGAGAAGTAAACAGTGTTAGCTTTAGCATCTCACAAGCCAGAGGGATGTAGGCTATAATAGTTAAAAACAGCCTTATAAAATATGTGTAATTACACCAGATCAGTCAGAAAGGTACATAATGTAAGACTTTTTCAATTGAAAATCCGTGAATTTAGGAGCGATACCTCCGAAACCAGTGGATCCAGAAAAAAGACGCAAACACCGTCTTCTTCTTCTTCTGATGCGTTTAGGCGAACATGGTCTGCTGCTGCCACCCAGCGGCCAACAGCGCGAACAACGGCTCAGATCCGCTTTCTCTGCGTGAACCAGACTTTGAAAGACATGCGTCCAACCCTAATCAGACACACCTGAAGCAGCTAATCAAGCTCTTACTAGGCATACCAGACGCTTCCAGACAGCTGTGTTGAGGAAAGCTGGAGCTAAACTCTGCAGGACCGAGTTTCTGCTTTAGACGGAACAAAAAAAAGAGAAGTTTGCATATTGAGCTTATACTGGATGAAGAGAACAAAACACATCAGGCCCAAACCTAAACACAAATATGGTGCAGGTGTGGATATTTATATGGTTAGAAAGTAAGATGAAATTCTGATTGCGAAGCAAATCATTGAGATCTTTATAACATGGCAGACTACTTCAAATGCATATAAAAATCTACATCTCCCAATAATATGTCTGTAAGATGATATATAATGCATAGTTTTATGATCAAAGCTCTGGAGGAAACATAGAATGCAATACAATGAAGATTCCTCAAAATCGTGATTTGATACGCACTGTTTAAGATGCAAAAAAAAAGATGCATGGATAATCAAAAGATTCATTTTTTGAAGCTCGGGATTTTATTTTCATTTCTGGTGCATTGTCTGATTTATTTGTCACCATCAATAATGTGATCGGATGTAAAACGGCTAATAACTCATTTCTAATTTGATTTCTTTTGATGCTGTTGTGGAATTTAGTGGAGAATTGTGTCTTTAATGAATTGTGCCTCTATTCATTAAATGTCTATTTTTAACAAACACTGCATTAGTTGAAACATAGTATACATGTGTTTTTTTTATATTATTTGTATTATATTAAATGGAAATAAGTGATTGATAATTTAGAGGTAAATATTGTTTAGTACCGGGAAATCCTCTCAAAATACAAAATATTACACTAAAAATATGATAGAAATTTCTTAGTAATAAGACATGATCCTTGAGCACTAAATCGGGATATTATTCAGCTTCACCTTCACTAAAGAAATAAAGCAAACTATTATTTTAAAGTGTAAAAATATTTAGCAATATTACTATTTATAGTAGGACCTATAGTGAGATTAAGAGAAATTTTTCAAAGCATTAAAATATCTTACCGACCCCAAACCTTTGTTAGTTAATAAAACAGATTCACGTTACAACTATTATTAAGTCTTGTGGATATACTTTCAAAACAGTACTGCATTTTAACATTTTGCAAAGAGGCTAATTTTTGCTTTTCCTTCGAGGTCAAGGTCTTACACAAGTCTCTATATCAAGAAAAAATGTGTAAATAAACGCACACAGGAAGGTGAATATGAGCAATATGAATTTTTATTGAATTTTAGTGTCAAACGCTGGAACCGCTGGTTGACAAAAATATGTTTCTGCTTTGAAAAAGTGTCCCATAAACAAACATAGAAAGACCGAGCGCATGTACAAAAGCCCTGTTGGTTAAATTAGTCCTTTCCTTCCAGTTTACGGTTTTCTGAGAGGCTCTCTCCTCCATTCTTTAGCTCAAAACTAGCCAGAAGCACTTGTCATTCGTTATAGGCATGAATCAGGAATAAGCACCGAGAACCAAACAAGCAGAATCTGCAAGAAACGTGCGGATCTGTAAACGTGGGTATGGTTTCTATATGCAACAAGAAGACAAATGTAAAGATAAGCATGCAATAAAATGAAAACCAATAGACGTGACCCCATCAAATGTTGTATTTCGGCCCAAGAGTTTGACTAAGCACTGCATTCGAATTGCACAATTTGTTTAATACCTTCCGTTAGGTGCTCATATGTTACGCATTGCATGCCAAAAAAAAAAAATGCATTGAGAGACCACCGTGAACACTAACTAGTGAACACCTGTGAACATCAACAACTGAAGCTGGAAACATAATGCAATGTTAATCCCTCAACCCAAACTGTATTGCATGGCCATCGGAAGCTGCTGATTTCTTTCCTTCGCTGCAGCGCTCACGCTGCATGCATAAATTCACAAACAATTAGAAAACAAAGCCTGCAACAGAGGAGAGAACAGCATTTCTCAGTTGTTGCTCTGCTGCATGATGATCTTGTTTTCTCGGAGGATGAGGACAGTCGGAACAGATTGCCGATCCGTCTAGCTCTTCACGAGCCCTCCGTCGCCTTCACTCACAAAGCGCTTGCGCCCCCTGTTGGCCACAAGAGTGCATCTGTTAGACCGCTAGTGCATTACCATTCAAAGTGAATATCCTCTAGTCTTTAGGTTCTCTGACCGGGTTGGACAGGAGTCTCTCAGCTGCTTCGTGATGACCTGCTCCTGGTAACAAAGGTCCACAAAGGTTTCCATAATGGAGTGCGCATGAGGCACATCCAGGCTGATCTCCGGCAGCTCGTCATAAACACGCTGGAAGCCCTGTGTAAAACACACAAGCCCTGTAAACCTCTGGGCTTCTTTGGTCACTTTTGACATTTTAAAAATCGTAGGTTCATCGGAACAGTACGAAGCTTGGTGACTTTTATGTCGTTTGGTGCATGAACACAAGCAAAAGATGAGGGCATGATTCGAAAAGGCTAAAAAAATAAACACATCTGTGGTCTTCGGCATAGGAGATGAATGGAAATGGGGGGAAAAAAATGCAAAACACTAAAAAAAAAAAAAAAAGCATGGGGGCAAAAGAAAAAAAGGGTTTTCAAACCTCAAAAAAAAAAAACTGAGCAAAAAATAAATATCATACATTTTTCCCTGATTTACAGAAGACACCCACTAAAATGTCATTCAGTGTAACAATCTTGTCAGGCATATTTACAACAAAAATCAATTTATGACACATTAAAAGACTAATTACTTTCACCCCAGATACTAATTAGTTGTTATTTTAAATTTTTTTAATTTGCCACTATCCTAGGTTTTGCCCATTTGTCAGTAATCATTTTTTACTAATTTAAAACACAATCAAATGTAATATGCTTGCTTATTCTTTTATATGTACAGGTCAGAATAAGCATGTTGTTTGAATTTTTACATAACTATAAGTGTTACACTGAATTACAATGAAACATATTTCAACCAAATTTTGAAATTTTATTCTACAAAAACTTATTTTAAACCTTAAATGTAGACACTTCACTTGCATTTAATGTGCTTTCTATGGATATATAATCACTTTTGTACATTTCTTTTGATGCGGATAACGTCTTTGACCCATTTACAATCTACAAATCAGCCATGATGCAGAAAAAAGTGCACAGCTAGTCTCTATTTTAAACTTAAACACGGCATTCATTTAAAAATAATTCTTAAAAAAAAAAAAAAAAAGGTATTATTTTCCAATGCGAAAAATGAATTTTAATTATTGCATAAATATTAATCGGTAACACAACATTCTCTCAAAATACAAAATGAAACAGAAAATATATTATTGAACAAAAATGTATTACATTGATTTTCCCAAGAAGAATAAAAAAGTTACATTTCAATGCTTTGAAGCCAGACCATTACAAATATGTGAAATTAAGAAATGAATGCATAAATCAAATATTCTCCCTCACTACTTGACTTCGTTGCTTGTAGACTCCTCTACAGCGTTTCAAAACTCCATCCAACCAAAAACCAATCAATCAAATCAAGTCCCTGCCCTAGCTTTCATCATTTTTGATTATATGCTTTACTCTTAACACTGATGGAATGATCTGTCTCTACTTCTGTTGCATCGCAACTCACCAAAGTACATAATAAAGAGTGAGCACAAACCCTGTTCATCTGGTCCAGAGTGATTAGGCCAGTTTTCCAGAAGATCTTGAGCAGTTTGACCATCATCTGTAACGCTGTGTCTCCTGTGGACTCCAGCACCATGACCACAGCCTACACCAACCACAAAAACAAATGAGGAAAACGACCGGAAACCAGAGAGAAAGTTCTTGTGCGACCCAACAACACAAACGTATCACAGCATACAGGGCTTTGTGTTGAAAATGGATGGTAAAAATAAAGCTAATTTAATCATAAATGACTATTGTTTTGCATTAGTAAGTGCAGTTACTAATAAAATTATATGTTTATTTCTTAGTAATGTTAATTTGACAGTAAAGCAGAGCTTGAGTTGGGAAGCATATAGGGCAAATTTCACGATTCGATTCGATTCGCATTCCCAAGCTTGCGATTCGATTCGATTACCAATTCGATTCGATTCAATGTGGATTATTTTGGATATATATCAGGTACACAGTACATGCCAAATTTTCTCAAGGAAAACAAATCTCTCAACTAATGCTGTAAAATATACACGAGAGTCAGTTGGTGCTACATTACTATAATATTGAAGGTTAAAATGTACTTTCGTTTTTTTTAAATATAAACAATGGTGGCTGTCATAAAAAATTAATGGATTTATTCAAACATAAATTAAACATTGAAGAACAGTAAAATGCATAATGAATGTTATATGGTGCATATATTTAGCAAAATGCCCCTCTGTACAGTTTATTTTTCTATCTGACTAATGAGTTTATGCTCACTGAATATGTTTTTCTGAGGTAAATGTGACGTTACGTGTCATTGTTTAAAATCTGTTATATTGACGTCTTTGCGCGGCTGAAACACTGATTGAGCGATTACATGAGACAGGATACGGATTGTAAAGTTGTACTCTTACTTTTAACTTACCTTCAGATGTTTAGTCATGTTTATTTTGTGCTATAACTAGTAATAAAGTGGAGGAGATGATCAGTTCACTGAGGCGCAACAGCGATCTGTCACTCCACATTAAACAGCGCCAAAACGGCATTTATTGTTTGAATACTGCAATACAATGGACAGAATTTGAAATCTGAGACTGTTTCATATTAAAAGTACCAACGCACAATGCTTATTGTGATATATTGGATGGTAAGTGCGCTTCAACATTCCGTCCATTAACTGAAAACAGACTAAACTAATCGATTCTTGGGATTTAAGAATCGATATTGTTCAGTAAAAATGAGAATCGATTAATATCGAGATATCAATATTTTTACCCAGCCCTAGAAGCATACAAAATTTATTAACAACAAATACATTTGTATATTT